TAGTCAACAAGGTCTGGCATACCATTTTGAGGCAGGATGAAACCCCTAGCTCCCATATCAAGGCTCAGCAAGGTTTCCTATCATAGGAAATAGGTTCCCAAAAGCCAGTATATGTGTTTGGGATAGGTCATGGTGGCACTGCCAGCTCCCAACACCAGAGCAAGTCACATAATTGGCCCCCACAGTGTAGCCGTTTGTAATGGGAGTCTTAAAAGTTTCTACCTTTAGAACTCCCATTCAGAGTTTAATTAAAACTGCCAAAAGTAAATAAAGAGGGGATTAGAAATCTGAGTGCTAAAATCTGAGAGGAAATAATCTACTCACAATAAGAATTGTCTGCCAATGTTTCTTTATTCTTCTCTCTTCCATCCATCATTTCTCATTGTTTCATCCATTACTTGTTGTTCTTGTACGACATTGTTCTTAGTTCTACATTCTTCTTCTTTGTCTCCTCATTACAAATGTTACCAGTTATATATACTCTTAAAACAAGTAATTCCTCGCTCTTACAAGTTTCAGGGCTGGAATTCTTGTGCCCCATAGAATATCAAATAAGAGTTTTCACACACACATAGATTCGTGTCAGTGACTAGCACATGGTCAGTTAACTTCTTAATGGAGAAAGTTAGTTAAGAAAGGGAATGAAATCATCAGGGAATTCTAGAGTGGTAGGTTAATGTGCTGTGCTACATTTTTCAGTGCTAGATAAAAGGGTAAAAGGTTTATTTTCTGTAAAGTTATAAATAGGGCACAGATTATTTAAATCATTGTGCCAATTCTTTTCTTCCATCAAGCATAGAGTTAGCATTACATCAAGCAACCTACATAAACAATCAGGGAGAAACTGATGACTCTTGATCAAATAGCACATACATCAGACACTGAAGTTTCTATGGACCTAGGTTTGGAGTTAGACATACTGCTCTAAGCGAAGAAGAGACCCAGGTCTCTAAATTAAAACTTTTGACCTATGCTGTTATCAACCATTCTGATTGTGAGTGTTGTGGGGTAAAATCAGAGCAACAACTTGGGCAGGTAGTAATTCTGTGTTCTTGGATATCTGTGAATATATCAAGATGGATGCTCTATGCCTGGATCCAAATGCCTGATGAAAAAGATAATTGAAGGCCGGGCGGTGGTGGCGCATGCCTTTAATCCCAGCACTCGGGAGGCAGAGGCAGGCGGATCTCTGTGAGTTCGAGGCCAGCCTGGTCTACAAGAGCTAGTTCCAGGACAGGAACCAAAAGCTACGGAGAAACCCTGTCTCGAAAAATCAAAAAAAAAAAAAAAGATAATTGAAGGCCTGGGAGTGGGAAACTGTTCTGAATTAAGGAATTAATCCCCAAATATATAACAGAAAGGAAGTTCAACTACAGCAAAAAATCTACAGCAAATGACACTTATTCACAAAGCAATAATGCAAAAAACAAGTATTTCCTTTTGGTTTAGCCTTTATCAGATTCCTTGGTTCTGAAAAGTCACTTGTGAAAAGATGACTGCATTCATTACTGTATAATATTGTGACTTTTAGCACCCTTGATCACCTATGGTTGTCTATTTCTCTAGCTAGAACCTTGAGTACTATACTGAATAGATATGGAGAGAGTGGCCAGCCTTGTCTTATTCCTGATTTTAGTGGGATTGCTTTGAGTTTCTCTCTATTTAGTTTGTTGTTAGCTGTTGGCTTGCTAAAGATTGCCTCAAGTGAAAGAAGAATCAATGCCTGTACCTAAAATTACCTCCAAACACAGAAGGGTAGAAAGCAGTATGAGAATGTATTCAATAACAGAATGAGCAATATGGCATTACCAGAACCTAGTAGTTCTAAAACAGCAAGACATTAACATTCCAACACAGGTGAAGTAGAAGAAAATATCTTAAAAATAATTTTATGAAGATGATAGAATATCTTAAAGAAGAAGTGAAAAATCCCTTAAAGAAAGTGAGGAATAGACAAAGAAAAAATTGGAAGGAATCAATAAATCACTTAAAGAAAGTCAAGATAAAATTAAACAGGTCAAGGGAACAGTTCAAGACTCCAAAATTGAAATAGTGGCAATAAAGAAAATATAAACCAAAAGAATTTTGGAAATGGAAAATCTGGGGAAGCAAACATGAACCACAGATGCAAGCATAGAATATAAGAGATGGACGAGACAATTTCAGGTATCAAAGATGCAATAAAGGAAGTAGATTCATTTGTCAAAGAAAACATCAAATCCAACAAATTCTTAGCACAGAACATCCAGAAAATCTGGAACACTATGAAATGACCAACCTAAGAATAATATGAAGAGAAGACTAACTCCAGTTGAAAGACAAAATCATATATGAAAAATTTCAAAACCTAAAGAAGGACATGGCTATGAAGGTACAAGAAGCTTACAAAACACTAAATAGATTTTACAAAAGAAAAAACCCTGGCCAAACAATATTCAAAACCACAAACACATAGAATAAGAAAGAATACTAAGAGCTGCAAAGAAAAGAAGTAAGAAACACACAAAGGCAAACCTATCAAAATTACACCTGACTTCTCAATGGAAACCATGAAAGCCATAAGGCCCTGGACAAATGCTCAGAAGACTCTAAGAGACCAAGGATGCAAGACCAGACTACTATATCTAGAAAAGCTCTCAATCAGCATAGATGGAGAAAACAAGATATTCCATGATAAAACCAGATTGAAACAATACCTATACACAAATCCAGTCCCAAAGAAAGTAAAGCTGAAAACATAAAGAAAACTCAAACTTAAGGAAGATAACTGCACCTACAAAAACACAGCCAAAAGGTATCCTCATACCAGAAAACTTCGAAGAACAGAAATACATAAACACTAACACCACCATCACCAAAACCAAATATGAAGGGTTGTAAAAGTAAGTAAAGTGTTAGGAAAGGATTTTTATTTTTTGGATGAGTTTTTCTTTATATTACTTTATTTTTTTAAAAGATTTTTAGTTTTAAGCTATTTTTATCACCATCAATAATCTTTTTCCTTAATCCTATGTAAATTGTAAACTTATTATAATGTCCTTAGAAACTTTTTCACCTAGATCTGTAACCATTTTTGTCTGTATGAGCAATACTTAAACCACTATGCTGCTTAGCTCATGACATCATTGCGGTTGGCTTCACACCCCAGGGCCAAGAAACCATAGAAATTCAGAGTGTCATGTGCCTACACAATAAATGTGTTGACTCGGATCTTGCCAAATTCTTTTCCACTCTCCAGCCTCAGAGCCAACTTCGAGCAAATATTCATCAGTGTGATGGAGTCTGCCTGAATTTTATCCATACCACATCACTGCTTTTCTTATTGGAAAAGTTGGGAGAAAACAAAAGGAACTGATTTCTGGGAACTATTCATTATGAAAAAAAACCTCTTTAGTTGAATTCACAAAGAAGTAACTTCAGTCAGCAAACAAGTTGATTTTATCAAGTTAAAATCTTGAGAAGGACTGATTCGCAAAGAGGAAAACCTGTCCTTGAAGGCTTCTTGTAGAAGTTCCCACTTGTAAAAGCCAGTATTGAATAGGGTGTGAATAATTTCATACATTTCAAATTGAGTAAATTCCCTTCAAAAGAGAAACAGACAATAGTGAAATGATAACAATGTTCCATAGCCACAGACCTACTTATACGACTCCTTTGTAGTAGAGACTATTGTCTTTACCTGAGAGATCTCCAGATAAACGGGAACTCTCCAATGTGACCAAGTTACTTCAGTGTACCCCAGTAGTGAGACAGCCTACCTCAGTCTGACATCACAAAGGCATTTTGGTGAATACTGCTGCATGGTGCCTTTGTCATTATGAGCCAATGCCTAGAACAAGTCAATTATTTTTTTGAGAAAAAAAAATCTAATCCTCCCATATTCCCCAAATTATCTGCCCTTGTTTGAAGAATTGTATATTCAAAACTATCCCATTTGGAATCAGGATTTTCATTCTTTTACAGAGCCAGCAAGCTGGGAATCAGTGGTCAGTTTGCTTACTGTGCCTAAGACTCTGTCCTATGAATTAAACTCCTCTGCCCTCCTGTAAGCTTCTGCTAATATGGCCTATAAAGCAGTACTTATAGCATTACACTGCTTTCCTAACCCAAAGCACCAAAATCCAAATACCACCAGACAAAAATGACAGGATTATTCCAGCAATACTCCAGTCCCTGGTGCCAAATGGCTTAGTTAGGGTTTTTATTACTGTGAAGGGACATCATAATCATGGCAACTCTTTTCATGTAAACCATTTAATTAAATATTTGCTTACAGTTTGAGAAAATGTTGTTTAATCATCTGTGAGTTAATGAAATATAGGGCAATAGTAGGCTTCCCAGTAATTGTTAGATTCCAAAGAACCTAGTTAGCCACATCACATAATTATCACATGCATGTGTTTGCAATTTTCTGGGGAGTCCTAGACAAGAAAAAAATTGTAGGCCTCAAAATAGTTTTCGATAACTTCAAGTATTTTATTCTTTAAAGTTTTATATTATGAAATTATATTATACTATTTTATGGAATCTATGTAGGCTTTAATAAAATACCCACTATACTTTGGAAGACAGTCTTTTGTGAAAATGAATGGAGATAGAGTATAGTGTATTACAAGAAAATAATATGGAAAAATAGATTAATAATCTATAAAAATGAAATTAATTATTTTGGAAATACTAAGAATGTCTATTTTAAACTTTTCTTCACAATTATTCTGTATTTTCTGTTTCTCTAAAAAAAGTGTAACAATTGAAGTTTTATGATATACATACAATATGCATGTGTAAGTACATATATATTATGTTTATACAAATAGTTTTGTCTGAGAAGATAGTTTTGGGTATGATTGAAATATTTAAATTGTAAGATGGTTTGTGGATATAGGAAGATAGAAAGTTAGAATCATCTATGGTATAGGTTCCTGGGTGAACATAAATTGTGTCTAAGGTTGTCAAATTCCACATTAACCTATACCCATAAAAAAGACAAGAGTCAGAAATGGCATGCTAAAAATTTTATTGTTGTTAAAAATAGATTATGGCCACATTATTCCAGTTGCCCAATTCACCAAAGCCAGTATTTTCTTATTCATTATCTAAAAGAAACAAACACAAAGAGAAGTTATAGAAAAATCACAACAAAATGAAATTTCTCATCTCTTTCTAACAACTTAAATGATGTAGATAGAAGTCTATGTTTGGTTTTTTTTTTCTCTTTCTCTACTCTTTGTCCCTTCCTTTTCTGGTTCTTTTTATTCATTTTTGGTAACCATTTAGCACATCATACACACTGAAGAAAATGAACCAAATATATTTTATTGGGTTTATGGCTTTAGAGAGAATGCATTTGATGTTAAAATGGTGAATAAGGCATGTGAGTATAATCACAGCACTTGGGAAGTAGAGGGAAGATGATTAGGAATTCAAGGGTATACTTGGCCACAGAGCAAGTTTGAAGTCAGCCTGGTCTATATGAACCTTATCTCAGGAACTCATTTAAACTATAAGACATATTTATAAAGGTGGGTTACTAAGGCAAATTTTAAAAGTGAAATACAGAATCCAGCTTGAACGTCCATTGACAGGATATTAAAACTAACCAAAAACAGCAAGAGCAACAGAATGTTATGGCTCACCACTGCTAAAACAAAACCACTGAAGATATGAACACAAACATGCTGTCTCTATGAACTATTGTGGATGTATTGTTTTAAAATTAATATAAGGGTACTATGAAGATAAAAAAAATATTTCTTTTTCTTTTTGAAATATGGAATGCTTCACAAATTTGCGTGTAATACTTGCGCAGAGGCCATGCTAATATCCTCTATATTATTCCAGTTTTTAGTATATGTGCTGCTGAAGCAAAGATCTGCTTGTATTTCTAATAAACTGTTGATAAAAATAGTGGAAGCCATTAATAATGGACAAGGTGGGGAGGAATGATGCCTTAACTTTTAAATGTTAACTTGATGCCTTGATTTCTCATTTATTTATTTTTTCTTATTCTGGGCATAATAGGTGAGGTTTCTGGAATGAGCAATGAGGCAGCAGAATTTAGGAATTACATTGCACTTCTTGCACAAACAATATAAATCACATTGTCAATCACGTATAGGCATTGTTCCTCACAATCACAATAAATTGAGCAGTATACAAAACATTAATCATCTTCCTATACCACCACAGATTATCCAAATAATGATAGTAGTATAAAAATAGTAGACTATCCTAATAATAGTAATAGTCATAAGAACTCAAACTATGTAATATAAATATATTTAAAGTTGAGTTAGCACAGCTTGTGCTTGCAAAGCTATAAGAATTATGATGTTTCATTAACAGTGATTTCAAATCCTACCTGATGATGTATCTTTGATTACTGAGGACCCTGGCCCTGGGAAGGTCCCTGAGGTCTGCCTCCCTGTTGGGGTGGGCCTTGCTGGTTTCCAGGCTGAGGGCCTTGATTCTGCTGCTGGCCTCCTTGTTGGGGTGGACCTTGCTGGTTACCAGGTTGAGGGTCTTGGTTCTGCTGAGGGCCTCCTTGTTGGGGTGGGCCTTGCTGGGCTGGACCTTGCTGGGGTGGGCCTTGAGGGCCTGGTCCTTGCTGGGGTGGGCCACGTTGGGGTGGGCCTTGAGGGCCTGGACCTTGTTGGGGTGGGCCACGCTGGGGTGGGCCTTGAGGGCCTGGACCTTGTTGGGGTGGGCCACGCTGGGGTGGGCCTTGTGGGCCTGGACCTTGTTGGGGTGGGCCACGCTGGGGTGGGCCTTGAGGGCCTGGACCTTTTTGGGGTGGGCCACGCTGGGGTGGGCCTTGAGGGCCTGGACCTTGTTGGGGTGGGCCACGCTGGGGTGGGCCTTGCTGGGGTGGGCCTCTCTGGGGTGGGCCTGGCCTAGGACCAAAACCTTGGTGGCGTGGAGGACCGTGGGGCAATGCTGCAAAAGAGGATCCATGATTAGAATATGAGATGCAGATGCATGTTCTTTATTTGGTACATCACAAGAAGTGGTAAGTTTAGTGCTGCAACAAATGCCCTCTCTCCTTTTATCAACAGCTCAAAGATTATTACATAATTTGTGAGTCATCCTCATGATCATTCCCACCTAGTTTTTATAGAAATTTTCTCTGAATACATGTATTGATGGTATCAAAGATAGAATCTTTATGCTTGGAACTAGAATTTGAGGTCTTAGAAAACTAATTTTCCTTGGAGTGGACAGAAGCAAAAACATAGGATTTTAAAATTATTTGAGTATCCTACCCAGAAATGTTCCTATGTCTTTTCTTTCTTCTGTTCTACATTCACTGAGGCAACATGCCTGTTATCCCCCGACTACTTCATTATAGGATATTCACAGTGGGTCTTTCTTCTGTCATTCTTCCTATTGGATCCTTCTCAACACAGAGAGGTGACTTTAGAGATCCAGCCTGACCTTTTCAACCTTCTGTTCCCACCCTTAATTAAATTTGTATTGTACGTGACAACATTCAATTCCTTGGTTTGGAAAGACGATTCAAACACAATACTTTGGTACTGATTTTATATTGCTGCCTTTCTGCTAATCCTCTTCTCTCTCTTTGCATCTTCTAGGAGTGACATGTGATCTGTTACCTAAAAGCAGATTCACTGAACAAACAACCATATCTCTTACCTTCACTGAAGCTCTGAAGAGAGCTCAGGGCCAGCAAGGCGGCTGTGAACAGGACAACCAGCATCTTGGAGTCTCTGGAGATTCTTCCAAGTCTGTGCTGCATGCAGTGTGGTACCTGCCTTTATATGACCCAGCAGAAGAATGGTGCCTTTGATCCCATCCTTGGTGACCTCATATTTGACAAAGTAGGAAATACTGCATCCTTGACTCCTCTTTGGGAGTTCTGCCAGGTAGTATAATATGAGGCATTGGAAACTTGGACTAAGAGCAGATGAAGCATAGCTATGATGTTAATACCTATATTAAAATTTTGCCATTACTTGAATTTCATTGTTTTTGGTATGTATATCTCATATAAAGTTATGATATAGTGGTGACTGATACTTTTTTAAACATGAAGATGTTTCATATCTTTAGTTTCATTTTCTTTTTTCTTTCTTTCTTTCTTTCTTTCTTTCTTTCTCAAAGATTTCTGTCTCTTCCCCGCCACCGCCTCCCATTTCCCTCCCCCTCCCCCAATCAAATCCCCCTCCCTCATCAGCCCAAAGAGCAATCAGGGTTCCCTGCCCTGTGGGAAGTCCAAGGACCATCCACCTCCATCCAGGTCTAGTAAGGTGAGCATCCAAACTGCCTAGGCTCCCACAAAGCCAGCACATGCACTAGGATCAAAAACCCATTGCCATTGTTCTTGAGTTCTCAGTAGTCCTCATTGTCTGCTATGTTCAGCGAGTCCGATTTTATCCCAGGATAAATGACCAGGTAAAATATACATTATGTGTTTTTGAAGTTTTTTTAACTTTATTTTTTTTAAGTCTGTAGCCTTAATTTTAAAGGGATCTTCTCGGATCAAACACAATTCTTTTTAGCTCTAAATGAATCCACGGAGACTTTTGGTTTTTTAGGGGGAAAGGGATACAAAAACATAATCTCTTCCTCAAAGCAAAACACCTTTTGACATCCATTTTGAACTAAAGACATTTTTCAAAGTATGGGTTGGTTTAATCAAGCAGCATTTGCCATCCAATGTTTCTTAACAGCTACCATTTATTCATCTGCAATAAAAAATCAAATAATAACATATTAGATATATATGTATATATGTATTTTTATGTGAATTTTTCTACTATATTATTTTTTTTGAAAAATCTTATTTTATTATTTTGAAACTCTTTCTATGACTATCTGCTCTTTTTCTTTTTCTTAAGACTATGTACATATTAATCACATTGTAACCTGGTTAGTGGCTTTCTCATCTGGCTCAGTAAACATTTTGTCCATGAACAAAACTTAAATGACTGTACAACTCTGTTCATGGAATGGTGGTGGTTGCTCAACACCCCAGAGCCAAGAAAACATAGGAATGCCAAACATTTTCTGCTTACACTTTGGAGGAATTCTGTAAATGCAGTTATTGTGGTCTCCCTAAATGCTCTTCCAATTTCCAACCCCAGAGTCAACTTCCATCACATAATCATCAATCTCTTGTTTTCTGCTCAAATTGTATCCATGCCCCGTTGTAGAATAAATATGGCCTGACTGGTCCATGGCCACTTTTGTGTAGACTGGTCTGCATTAGCATGCACACTAATGACTTCCCATTGGGTCAACTTGGAGTTTTTCACCATGCTTGTATATTACTGATGTGGGGATGCCCTATCCATGGAACCAATAAAAGGAGGCCAGCACCACAGACTCATTCACTGAATTCCATGGGACAGTGTGTGTGGAGGGGTGGTATAGGCAAGCATGATTTCTGTAGTAAATGAGTCTGCAGCTACATGATTCACTATTCAGCTGACTCCCAATGTCTATGTCTATGTTATTGACTCTTTACCTTTTCCCTCCCTCCATCAAGGTGTGTCCAAGCAGGATCATGTGCAACATCTGTTACTCAATATAGGGTTTATGGATTCTGTACAGGCATTGATCTTGACTTCACTTAAATCAGATTATATTTTTTTAGATGGTTGTGACTGTTTTGGGGTCCGGATATTTGCATTTTGTTACTAGCGGTATGTTGACTATGTTGGTATACTTTTGCTTTTTTTTTTTTTTTTTTTTTTTTGGTTTTTCGAGACAGGGTTTCTCTGTGGCTTTGGAGCCTGTCCTGGAACTAGCTCTGTAGACCAGGCTGGTCTCGAACTCACAGAGATCCGCCTGCCTCTGCCTCCCGAGTACTGGGATTAAAGGCGTGCGCCACCATCGCCCGGCTACTTTTGCTTTTCTTATGAGTGCTCTTTCAAACTTCTCTTCATGACTGCAGTGCATCACAACGTACCTTTTTTGGTGACTTTTTAGGTGAGTTGATCCATGAATGTTTCATATCCTTGGTCCTCATGAAGGTGAACATGAAGATGCTCCTTTTCTCTTTCTCTCTTTATGTCTGTTTGGTACCCCTGGTGCACTAGGTAGGAATACCTACTACTAATCTTGATTCATCAGGTGCCTCTATATAAAGGCTGATACTCCAGGAATTGGAACCCCATGGTGATCCCAAACATTTTCCTCTCATCCAGAGACACTGTGTATGTCCATGTAGACATACAACCATGGACTAATGAACCACAGAAGTCCTCCACTAAGTGTAAGACACTTGGATTCAACATATTTACTGTTTTATTTATGCCTATCTTTGTGTAGTTTAGAATTTGTTCTTGCCTGCTCTGTATTTCCTACCATTAAGAGAATTATGGAACTTACACTCCCACTGAAAGAAACTTCAGACGAGGGCATTAAAATTAATATTGGTCAACAATGGCATTAAGGTTAATAATGGAATTCTTGAAGATTTGGGGGATGATGTTGTGGGGTTGGCCCCACGAAAACATGTGGGTCCTGAACTCAGGATGGGCATGTACTTTCTTGACCAAAAGCATAAGGTTGGCTCAAGAGTGTCTCCCTCTGTTTCCTTTGTCCCAATCCTACTAGCCATCATTTCCAGTCATAAATCACCCCCACTTCAGAGGAAGTAAGAGCTGCTCACAATAAGCATTGTCAGCAACATACCAGTATTAACCTCTCTATTACTTTGACATCATATATTGCAGAGGAGGAGGAGTCAGACCACTCATGCCAAGCAGTGCCTCCCAAACCGACATGTTCTGTTGACAGTGGTTTCTGGCCTGCCCAATCACACAGCTGTTCAGTCCCAAAGAAACACACAGAGGTCTACATTAATAGTAAACAGGTTGGACTATTAGCTTAGGATACTTATTAACTAATTCTCACATCTTAAATTAGCTCATTATTCTTATCTGTGTTATTCACATGGGTTGGTACCTTTTATTAGCAAGATAGTTTCATCTTGCTTCCTCTGTGTCTGGGTGACAAGTATAGACTGAATTTTTCTCTTCACAGAATTCTCCTGTTCTGGTCACCCTGCCTATACTTCTGTCAAGCTACTGACCAATTGGCATTTTATTAAAATACAAGTAACAAATTCTTATGGGGAACAAGACCATTGTTCCAAAGCAATGGTCCATCCTTCCCACTCCTATTACAGCCTTCACTCCTCCACCCAAGTACCCATGGCAGGAACATCGGTACCAAACCTAAAACAACATAGAGCCCATGGCACTCCACTCCCCCTACTGTTTCCCCAGTTTGTGTTGCAGCATCTTCCTTGGCCCCCCAAACCCCAGAAGATTGTCCAATCATGTCTTTCCATGTTTTCATGGGATCGAACACAGTCAACCAACCATGGGAGCCTACAACACTTATGAACTTTTTTTTTGTCCAGAAAGCTGTTACTAAATTTGTCCCAGACTCTTTCTACTTTGAACAAGTCCTTCAAGAATGGGTTATTCAATTACAAACCATTATGCCTGGTACCATCTTTTTCAGTATATTTTGGAACCTGTGGTCTTCCTTAATTGGCACTCCTCTAATGATGATCAGGTGGAGTCACAGGCCTAACTTAACCTTCACTATGGGCTTGATACCACCCTAGACATGCTCATCAGATGTGGCTAATATATTGATTCAGTGTCCAAATCCACCACTGGCCAATATGCTTATTTCCAATTTGTCTCAGATCTGTCATTTAAGTCCCTTAAGACTTCAGTCAATGGCCTTTGAGAGGTTTTAGCAGGTTTGGGTGTGGCTTGTGTACCAAAAAGCCACAGTCCCAACTGCTCACCCCTCTTTTTCTTGTATGCCAACATGAATGTAAGACCCAGTTCCTATTTTTTCATTGTGATCCATGAGTTTCTTTGTTTTGGTAAAGGAAGTCCTTATTCAAAGCTAGTGTGGAATTTCCTTATTAGTATTTCCCCATTTGTCTGACATGTTCTGCTTTGTGTGTATGTGTATATGTGTGTGGATGTGGATATAAGCTTTACACACACACATACACACACACATATATGTGTGTGTGTGCTATTATATATGTATATGCATTCACATGTACATATACTGTATAAGGTAAGAAACAATGTATTTGTGTGTGTAAAGGTTTTAGGCACATATATACAAATATTATAAAGGGTAATAAAGATTTTAGACTATATATTCAATTAAAGTTATGGGTCGATAACACAATAATTTATCAAAACTTATATATATATATATATATATTTAATCTGTTAGAATGCTTAGTTATGGGGATGGTATTATTATAATTCATAGAACATCTTTGTCTTAGTTAGTGTTTTTTTGCTGTGAAGAGATACCAAGGCCATGGCAAATCGTACAAATGAAAACATTTCCTTGAGGCGGTGTCTTACAGTGTTTGAGATTTAGTCAATTGTCATTGTGGTGGGGAGTATAACTGAATACAAGCAAACATGGTGCTGGTGACAGAGCTGCTACATATTGATATGTAGGTAACATAACGTGGTCTGTCACACTGGGCAGTGTGGTAAGAATATATGAGACTTCAAAACCTACCTCCACAATGAAACATTTCTTTCAATAAGACTAGACATACTCCAAGATAGTCATACTTCCTAATGGTGCCACACCCTTTGGGGAACAATTTTTTTTCAACTTCACATTCCACTCCTTGGCACCCATAAATTTGTAGCCATATCATAATGCCAAATGCATTATAACTTCAATGTCCCCATAGTCTATCACAGTCTCAACAACATTTAAATGTTCAAACTTACTTCCAAGATTCTTACAATCTCTTAAATGC